GAGTTTTTGTGGGTTTTTGGCGGACCTATAAGTTATAGTTGCAATGAAGAAATTGTTAAATAATGTGTAATGTAAAGAAATTCCTGATATGTTTTTTTTTATTTTTTTCTCAAATCACTTCAAACTTCATAAGATCCCACTCAAAAGGGTTGACATAAAATCAACTGAAAGAAAAGGTTATGATAATAAATTACCAAATAATTGTAAAAACTTTTCGAAAGCATTTCACTGTGAGTTAATACTTAAACATTTATCGAAGCCCTGATTATTTCACTCTCTTGTTGTACATTTTTAAGTGAAAGAAACTGTTGATGGCCCTTATTATGAGCTGCATTCGATTTTCGATCTTCGCTGGCTATCGAAGATCGAAAGTGAAATTCGTATTATGAGCTATGCAGGCGTGTCGAAATTTTCGTTGAGTATCGAATTTTCTGTCGAACAGAATTTTGCTTTCGATGGTGTAACGAAGTGTTAGAAAATTGTGAAAAATGTATGATTTTATATATGTTTTCTTACATTTTGGCGGCTAGACACTAATTTTAAACAATTTTTATTAATTTCATGCAGTTCTAACATCGTGAATACTAAACACAAGCTCGAACGGCTGGTTTTACTTGGGAAAGAAAATCCCAATGCTCTGTTGGCACGATCTCTGATAACAAAATCGTAGCGCTGTTGATAGTTTTAAAATATTTTAAATAGATTTGGCTCACAAACGCCTCTTTAGATGGTCGGAAATTTTTAATGAATCTGTAGACAAATTTCTTAAATATATTTTATATCAAAATATATTCGAAAGACTAATAAACTTAAATGTTTAAGAGAGCATTTGCTACTCCTGGCCAGTTTACTAAGCTCTCATCCTCTGACGAATCGTTGAACCAGAACTCGTTGTACTCATTTTACCACGTTTTTATAAAATTGCTTTCTTTTTTACTTCATTTTAATTAGAACAAATTTGCATAAATATGTATAAGCACACTATTTAGTTTGCTCGATTTGTAAACAAAGCTTCTCAGCGGTGAAAAATATACTATTGTGAACAACCTAAACGAGCGAAATTCACAATAGCGCTATTCTTCATCGAATGAGCGCCATAATACCAAATGAAAATTCGTTCGCTCAGCACTTTCGACCACAGTCGAAAATCGAATGCAACTCATAATAGGGGCCGATATTTTCATTCGATGCATCGAAAATATCGATATCGATATGAATCGATGCTATATTTCGATTCATCAAATGGAAAAAGAACATCGATAGATATATTTTTTTGGCTTGCATCCCTAATGTACATACATATGCATTAAAAATATAAAATAAAAAAAGCGAGCGTTTTTCTTCTTAAATGAAATTAATTTCTAAAACTGTTTTCATGTATTTACTAAGTAAATACATTGTATGTATGTACATAGCTATGCATGCATTGTACACTGCTGAAATTGACGGCAGCTCCTATGTAGTGGTCTTCATACATGGCCCCACTATTGGCATTTCACTTCAATTTTCTAAAACCACTGTTCATTAAACTTTCATTTGATATGAAACCAAAAAAAAACCATTTTTTTGTTTAATATATCTGCACGTATTTAGTACATATTGTATGCATGGATGTGTTTGTATGTTACACGACAACTTAAAAGGTGTAATGCATACATTTAGGCGATAGAAGAATTATGATGTTTAAAACGTTTCACTGACCGACTTTCACTTTCTTGAATTAAATCTTATGCAGATATTTATCCACCCCTTTGAATGGGAATTTTCTATTAACTTCATCGAATTCTGTCCAGTCCAATTTATGTCCAGCAAACGTGTTGCGAGCAAAACGTTAAAATATGTGTAAGGGAACGCAGCGACTGTTTTCCGCACACAGTACCTTGAGTTGTTGCACACGTTTTAATAAGGATAAGATATACTGAATACCCCAGCATCCCGAATTTCTCTTTTTTTTTTTGTCAATTACATTCTCTCTAAAAACGCGTATGATAGATACTCTTATGCAGACTCTTTCATGCTCTCTTTTAGCGGTACAAATGGCATCGGATACAGTGTTACCGAATCGCAGCTAAAGTCTCAATTTAAATTTTTTGTTAGAAACTTTTCAAATCTCCCCTTTTTTTGAAATTCTTGCGTCTTTAGATCCTTACATTTTTTCCTTGAATGCACCTACATATGTACATTAGGGTGGTCAAAAATAAGTTAAGTCGGAATTTTAATGCTCTCACTCTCTAGGATTGTTCTATGTCGAAATATATACCCTTTTTTATTTTGAAATGAAAAAATCAGCCTCATTGCGAGAGTCATGTCGTATGCAAGTAGTTTTTCGAGAGTCGAATTGTATCAAAAATTGCATGTCATTTGCTAAAATTTCGATTCGACTAGTATATTAAAACGGAACAACTGGGCACAGTACTGCACAGTTTTCGACGATTTTCGTCGTTTACTTATTTCAGCACGTCATTAGGCAATGCCAATGTCAAACAAAGTTGTATGAACGATCTATCGCAACTCCGGGTTGCAAATGTAAAATATTTTAAAAATGCCGCGTGGAGTGAAAAAGAAAAGTTTTTACAATTCTATCCCGAAGCAACCTCAACTTATATACTTTTTCTTGATTTAGTCGAAGACAACAAAAAAAACATTTGTTTCGCGATTTTGACTTTGCAATGATTGCCAGCTCAATCAAGAAAGTTTCCATACAAAAGTAATCAGCTGTGTCTCGAGGTGAAACATTTTGGAACACATGTGACATTTGCAACAACTTTACGACGTTTCATGAATCCCACTATTGTTTTCGTATTCATTAATTCCTTAAAATGGCCTCATAAACGCCTATGCCGACATAACCACTTCCGTTGATAATTTTAAGTTTTGCAATAAGCATTTATTTTCGTTTTAAATTACCAACGATTTTTGCAGAGCTCAATAAAACAGGTAGCCTTGAGGGACTACGAATCTTTGAATCTGCATAAACTTTTTTCAATCTTTCTTAATATTTAGCAGCGAGATCCTCAAATACAGCCACAGCCAAAAGCAACTCACCGTTTAGATCAATAATAAGCAAAACTGCCAACAAAAATTCTTTTCTCTGTGTTTAAACACAGTGATGAACAAAAGTATTGGCATAGTAAATTTTTCGCATTATGTGCGAAGTTGTTTATTACAATTTATTTTCAATAATTTTTTATAAAAATATAGTTCATTATACAACAAAAAACATAAAAATAAAATCTCCAGACTCTTGCAAAACTTAGGGAAATTCAATACATCTGGAATTTCCCATTCAGATTTTTTCGAAAAATTCTAAGTATGCAGTTTTATAAAAATCAACGCGATTTTCCAGCAGCTTCAAACTTGGCTATAAAACTGCATACTTAGAATTTTTCTAGAAAATCTGAATAGAAAGTTGCAAATTACTATGCAAATTTATTGAATTTTTCTTGAGTTTTGCGCAAAGTTTAGAGATTTTATTTTTGGGTTTTTTGGCGTAGTATGAACTATATTTTTATAAAAAATTATCGAAAATAAATTAGAATAAAAAACTGTGCATATATTGAATTTTGCTGAGTTCTGCACAACGATTAGATATTTTATTTTTATGTCTTTTGGCGTAGTATGAACTATATTTTCATAAAAAATTATGGAAAATAAATTCCAATAAAAACTTTGCATATATTGCGAAAAATTCACTGTGCCAATACTTTTGTGCGTCACTGTACATAACATGTAGATATGTACATATATATGTATGTGATATGACTGTATATAATTGAGGGTTCCTCGAAGCTACGAGTTTCGACTTGGGCGACTATTGCTCACAACTACAGATACCTACATATTTGGGAATTAGAGTATATTCAAATACAATTGCATGCAAATACATACATATTTGTTACAGCGGACAATTAATGAATTTGCGATTTATTAATAAAATTCTGCAAACTCATAAAAATTTAAATAGAACAGCTCTTACGCAGGTTTTGTATCCTGCAACTTAGCGCGCCACTTAATCAGATAAATGCTCAATTTGAGGAACAAACTCTTGTGTGTATGAATTGTTCTCCCACATCTGCGTGCGAGCGCGAGTTCCGTGCCGTCAAATCAGTATTTCCAGAAATTCGGATTTTGAGCCATTCTTCG